ATAAAGTTAATTTTAAAACGTAAATTCCGGAGTTAACAAATAAAGTAAGGTCAGCGCCAAATTTTCATCTTACTCAAGGGATGTATGATGAACATGTATTAATGAAAGAACAGAGAGAGCCATCGCGATTTGGATTGGGGAACTAATTCAAAAAGGAATTCCTGTAAGCGGTTAATTAATCCAGGAAAAAAACTCTTCAGTTTTATGAGTTAATGAAACGGTCAGAGCCACCAACTTCCAGTTTCCAAGCTGGTAAAGAATTTTCAGCTAGCAAAGGATGGCTAATCGGATTTATAAAAAGAAATCTTCTTAGCCTTCTATCGTCCATGTTTTTTACAAATTTTTCATAATACGGAGGTATATATATATATATATATATATATATATATATATATATATATATATATATATATAATATATATATATATATATATATATATATATATATATATATATATTACAGGATCCAATTTGTAAATAGAATACATCTTGGAGACGGCTATCGCCGTATTCCCGTCCTCCTCCGCCAATCCTCTCGGTCCAAGGCATGCTCCTCCTCCAAACCTCTCGATTCCATTGCTCTTCTAATACCTTCATTCCATGAGCGTCGAGGTCTACCTCTTTTTCTTCTACCAGGGGGCTTCCATCTGTGAAGTTTTTGGGGCCAACGTTCGTCAGGCATTCTTAACAGGTGTCCAAACCATTTTAAACCTCTTCTTTCTATTCTGTCTATGACCGTATCTGTAGCATTCATCTGATTTCTTATAGATTCGTTGGTTTTCCTTTCCAGCCTTGATGTTCTAGCACTTCTTCTCAAATAATCCATTTCAACTGCCAACAATCTTCTTTTCAGGTCTGCATTAATTGTCCATACTTCAGAGCCATAACAAAGAACTGATTCAACCATCGTTTGCCCTATTCTTTTTTTGTTCCTTTTGGAAATGTTGCGATCCCACCATAAGGAGTTCAAACATCCTACAATTTTACGTCCCTGATTAATTCGGTGTTTAATTTCGGTTTCACCCAAGCCGTTCTTATCAATGAATGCACCTAAATATTTAAATTTTTCCACTTGTGTGATTTCCACGTCCTCGTCTATCAACACTTCAAACCTTGCATCTGAATTGATAACTAGATATTCCGTTTTCTTCATGCTGACTTTTAACCCCCATTTTACATATTCTCTGTATAGACGCTTTATCATAAATTCTAGATCATAAGAATCTTGAGCTAGAACGACTTGGTCATCCGCAAAGTTCAGGGAGAACAGTACGTCATTTCCTATTGGGATTCCCATTCCCTGGCAGTGGTTTTTCCAATTTTGAAGGGCTGCCTCAATATATAAATTAAACAGTAAAGGTGACATACTGCATCCTTGTCTCAGTCCTTTAGTTACTTTTATCGGCTCTGATAGTCTATTTCCGATTTTTAGGTAAGTGGTGTTATCCCTGTATACTTCTGTGATTATTCCTAAAAGGTGTGGACTAATGCCGAGTTGTTGTAAAGCTTGCCACAATTTAGGCCTTGGTACTGTATCATACGCTTTTTCTAGATCGATGAAGGCTAGATGTACTTCGTTACCAACCGCTATTCTTTTTTCTATTAATTGTTGGAGTATAAACAAGTTATCAGTGCAAGATCTACCAGGCGTAAATCCGCTTTGGTCTTCGCTAATTAGATGTCCTACATCATCTTGTATTTTTCTATTTATTATCTTTCCAAACAATCTGCCGAAAGTAGGTAGGACACTCAATCCTCTGTAGCAGTTAGGATCTTTTCGATTACCCTTTTTAAAGATGGACACTTGGTGAGCGGTTTTCCATTCGGATGGTATTTTAATTTGTTGGCAGCATTGATTCATTAGAAAAGTTATTCGTTCGATTAGGAGTGGACCTCCTGCTTTAAGTAACTCTACAGCTATATTGCCAGGTCCTGAAGATAGCCCGTTTTTCATTTTAATTAGCGCAGTACGGACCTCGTTGCTGGTAGTATTAATGTTACTATTTGTTTGTCTCTCCATACTGTATTCTTCTCCCATACATTCCAATCTATACTCTTGGAGTAAATTTTTATAGTGATTTTCCCATTTTTCTATAGAAATTAAGTTGCTTAATGAGTTATGGGTGTTCTTCTTTAGGTTAGTGATAGTTCTCCATGCTTCCGTTGTCTGAGAACCACCCATTAAATTTTCAACTTGGACACATTTTTGTTCCCAGAAATTGTTTTTTGCTTCTTTTATTTGCTGGCGTACTTCTCCGTTTTTCATTTGATATGATACTCTATTGCTAGATGTTTTATTTGTTAGCCATTTTTTATATAATTTGTTCTTTTCTTGTATCATTTCTTTTACGTTTTCTGTCATCCATGGTGGTTCGTGGTGTTTTTTGTCGTTGTTCTCTGTTCCTAATACTTCATAAGCAATTTTTTTTATTATCATTTTGAGGTTATTGTATTCTTGTTCTACATCCATATTTCTTTCCATCTCATTTAGTTCCCTTTCTAATCTACATTGAAAAAGATGTTTAATACTTGGTTGGAATAAAAGATGCAATTTATATCTATCCGTTTTGTACTGCGTAGTATTGTTTCTCTGACTTTCGGTGTTATGTTTGTTGTTTTGTTTAAAGGGGCACAAAATATTAGCTAAAAGAAAGTAATGGTCTGTCCCACAGTTAGACCCTCTTTTTACTCTGCAGTCTTGGCACTTAAATTTTGAGTTCTGTCTCATTATTATATAGTCTATGATCGACTTCTGTTGGAGTGAAGGTCGTTCCCAAGTGTATTTATGAATATCTTTATGTGGGAATTGGGTGTTCATTATTTTTAAACCAAAAAGTTGACAGAACTCAATTAAACTAATACTAATAATATGGAGGACTAATAATACGGAGGTCTCGGTCATCAATTCCCACCTATTGCAAGACACCTATAAGTTTGTCATGGTTTTTTCTCGGTCAAAGGCTTTTTCGAAGTCGATAAAACACACATATACCGATTGTTCGATATCCCTACATCTTTGAACCATGACGTGCATACTAAAGAGTGCTTCTCTGATTCCAAGATTGTTTCTGAAACCAAATTGTGTTTCACTTAGTTGTACTTCTATTTTGTTGTAAATTCTCTAGTGCAGTATTCTTAGGAAAATTTTCAGTACATGACCCATCAGACTGATAGTGCGATGATCGCTACACTATTTGGCAGTTATTTTTATCGGTATCATTACAAATGTTGACACTAGCAAGTCTGTTATAAATATAATATGTCCTGTTTCGTATATTTTATTGAAGAGGCATAGAAGAAAATGTTTACCCTTATCGTCGAGTAGTTGATTATTTTGCTTGTAATTTCATCTGGACCGGTTGCTTCCTTATTATTTGATAGCTTTATAGCTCTTTCCATTTCATCGAGCGTTATGTTTGGACCCGTTGATATATTTTCGATTTGAATTTCTGTTCTATCGTCATCAAACAGCTCCTCAATATATTCTTTCCACCTCTCTAATCTGTCTTGTTCATTGACTATAATATTTCCTTGTTTATCAAGTAAACTACTTGCAGTTGATCTATATGTTCCAGTTATTTCTTTCACCTTTTTGTACATATGAAACGTGTCATTCTTTTGCAGTTCTTTTATTTCAAGATATTTGTTGCTGTACCATTTTTCTTCTGCATTCCGGATTTTCCTTCTGATTTATTTATGGATTTTATTGTATCCTATAGTGCTTTTATTTTTCTGTTTTCATCTGCTTTCCATTAGTCCCAATATTTCATTAGTCACCCACTTTTGTTTGCGCTTATTAATAGTTTTATACCTTTTAGTTGTTCTTGCATAATGGTTTTGACATGATTCCAGTGGTCTTCAACGTTATGTGTTTCTTCCGATTTTTCGAACTTCTTTTCTATCTCGTGTGTAATTTCATGACTATTATTTAGAATAGTCCGTTTATTAGGTTAGTCGGTTGTTGGCGTTTTACTTTTTTAAGTTTTATGTCATCTTCACTACTGCTGGATGTGAGAGCATAAACTTGGACCAGATTTATATCTATCTGTTTTGAGTTTAATTGCATCACGATTACTCTGTCCGAAATGTAATTTACAGATTTAATACAGCAAGCTGTATTGATCTGATCATCAGGAAAACAAATTCTTGCGCTGATAGTACAAATATTAAGAAAGGACTGATCGCCTAGATAAATTTTCAATTATAAAATATATGAGTATTGTCTGCATTTTACTGAAAATTCACAAGTAAGCGAAGCACCGCTGCTGATAGACTATATAAAGTATGACCACTCTTTTATTCAATAACAGAATGAGTGAAATACACTCAGATCCATCCTGTCCAAAACCAAACCTAACAACACACAAGAGAGATAAAAGAACTTCATCTATAAAATACCTTGTGAATGCAACAATTTCTATGTGGGAGAAACCGCAAGGCCACTGAGTGTCAGGATGAACGAGCATGAAACATACATAAAAATAGGGAACATGCAACCTAGTCAATGAAGAAAAATGTGTAGCAAAACCACCAGCAGAATGTAACAAGCTTTGGTTGACAATAATAAAAGAAGAAGTCAACAATAAGAATATACCAACAATAATGCAACACACAATACACGAACGAATAAAGCACATACAAATGATGTAGAAATACATAATAATCAGAATTTTAAGTTCCATAGAGCGAAAAATCCATCCTCACATTTTTTCAGTCAAAGCATGGTTGTTGCCTACAAAAACAGCGGCCAAGTAAAAGTTAACTTTCAATTTTGAAAAGACATAACCTCTTTAACAACTTTGGCTGTTATACATCCTTTTTAGACAATTCTTAAATAATCTTTTTGAAAATAATTTTCGAAGTGTAAATCGAAACGTCAAATTGTGACCCATATAAATACAATTTTTGTTTAATAATATTTCTCTTTTAATTTCCACATATTTCCTAGCCGTATTATAATTTAAAACAATATTAGTGAAACAACTGATGAAATGACTTACCGTATTATTTTTATCTTCAGAATGGATGTGCGTATCATGATGCTCGTGGTCATGATGTTCGTGGCCATCGTTGCCGTGGTTGTCGTCTGTTATTATGTGTTTGGATAAGTTTAAATCGCCTAGGAACTTCTTGAAACCTTCTTTCGTCATGTATTCTCCGTCGCCGTACTTCAAAAATATTTTCCTAAGATGATCTGTGTCACTGTCACTGTTATTTACATTATCGTTGCCCGATTCACTACTCCGTCGGACTTTTCTATGATTTAAGTCTATAATACTGTTTTCCGTTTTACCAAGGACCGGTAGATCTCGGTTGTTTTCTTGATATTTTTCTTAAAAAAAAAAATAGAATATTTTTACACCTTGGTATGGAAGGAACATTCTGAACCAAAAATTAATTTTAATTTATTGGAATAACTGTTAAATCTGGTAACATCATATGCTATCTATTCTCTGGTAAGAGTAACACTATTCATTAGACTTATTAGTAGACTTAGGCAAATATGCACAGAGCATATTTTGCATATTTTAAGCACCAAGCAAACTTTCAACATATTTTTATACTAATCAAAGTAAAATGCATCATAAAAACACTAAAGAAATACCTACATTTGGATATAATCCATTTATATGTTCTTGGTATTGTACAATAAATGAAGAATGCGAAGAGCTAGAGAGACATGCAAACCGATATGAGTCCCATAAGCTATAGTCCATTTCCATCATATTGATAGCACATTATTCATGCAAATCCCTAAACTGTTGATACGGGTGACTCAATGAAAAATAGATATTTATCAACAAGTTTACAGAAGTATATAGGAAAACAATTTTAAATTGAGTATGACCACCAGGTATAAATGTTGAAGCAGAATAGAATACAATAGTTTTGAGGGTTACTAATCCCTAAATAAAGTTGCCAGTGTCGGAGTGATGGAGATTAACAGGTACTAATGAATTTGCAAGAAATGTAAGATGTTTATTTTATCGGTTATATATAAAATAATTTGTGGCCGTAACAGGGACCGATTTGTAAAAAAGTGAATATTATTTTAATCAAATTCCATTTCAGATTCACTGCTTTCTTCAGAATCTAAGGAATCTTCAACTGCAATGTTAATTATTACCGGTTCCAGCATTGCATCAGTCATATTATCCAAATTCCACATTTTATTTTCTTCCTTCTGAGCATGACTAACAGCATTTTTCCAATTTTCTGGAGTTACTTTTGATAAGGAATGTTCTAATAATTGTTGTAAGTCTTCTAATTTAAAAGTTTTGTTGTTGCGTCCGACTTCACCCTTTACTTGAGACCATATATTTTCTATCGGATTCAGATCACAGTGGTATGGGGGTAAACGTAAAATAATTACATCACGGTTTAATGCCATTTCATCAATTATATATTTTTTATAAGCTGCTTTATGTTGCCTTAGAATAGGTAATAATTCCTTTTTTATCGAATTCTCCTTGTACTCAATTGCGTGTTTATTAAACCATTCGATTATCTCTCCTTTTTCCCATGCCGTTGTTGGCAATTTTAATGCTAGTCTTGAATGGTAACTAGCATTATCCATGCCTATGACAGCATTTTTTGGAATTAAATCCAACATTTGCTCAAAATATTCTTCAAAAACGTCAGCAGTCATTTCCTTGTGGTAATCTTTGGTTGATTTTGAGGCAAAACTTAATAATCCACCATTGACAAAACCGTATTCGTTTCCAATATGGGTTATTATGAGTCTGCGTCCTTTTCCAACGCGAATATTGTTTATTCCAGTAGATACACCTTCGATGAATTCCTGACGGGAACTTTTCACATTTGTATCAACCCATAAATATGGTACAGTATGACCTTCATTTAGCCAAGTCTCGTCCAAATAAAAAATTGTTTTCTCTTCTTCTCGGTACTTTTTAATAGTTCTTAGATAATCTCGTCTCCAACATACAATGTAATCTTTTTCAATTAAAACGGATTTTCTTCTGTTCTTTTGCCAACGAAATCCCATCTCTCTCAATAGTCCCCATAATTTCTTGTTGCTTATGATTGGTAACTCTTCGTTTTCTCTAATTAATGGTTGGATTTTGTCCAATGTTGGAAATTCTTTGTTAAAAAAAAAGAGTGGACGCTGCGTCTTATCATGTTTTCATGTATTTCTTCAATTTCCAAGGGTTTACTCCCTCCACTCTTCTTGGGAGATGAAACAGTTCCTCCTTTTCTTTCTTTTGGGAATTTATAAATTGTTGCTTCTCCAACCCTTGTCATATTTGAACACATGTTAACGATTTCATGAACATTACTTAAAGGGCGTTGATGTACCAGTGCATCGTGTACATTTAATATTATATTTTTCTCTCTTAGACTGAAGGCACCTTTAAAACTACACTTAACCGGGATAAAACCTGTTGTCGACGTCATTTTTAAATGCAAATAACAAAATATCGACACCAAAAACGTAGGTAGGTAAGATGAACAATGTACATCTACAAACTAAATGGAAGATGCAAACAATTTCTAATTTATATTATTGGCATAAGCTGTAATGTATAAAAGCTACTTAAACTATCATTAGTGAAGCCTTATCAGTAATTCCAGGTAATCGTTCAAAGAAGGTATTCTTTTTGTGTCAGGCGATAACTTGTATAGAGAACAATAATCACCTTTAAATTACTGTTTACATTAATTTATTTCTTGAAACATTGAATTCTCTCGTTAATCACCCGTGTATAATTAACAATAATCGTGTGCCATATATACCGACGTTTTTTACGCACAAAAAAGGTATAGTGAGATTAATGGACACTTATTTTACAGAAGAGTTTTTAAAAGATAATGAATTGTTGACGGCATCTTCAAATATTTATTTTTTTTATTTTTTTGAAAACAAGTATAGGGTGACGCCTATGGTTTTTTGACTTGTTGAGGATTTGCATACATAATGTGCTATCAATATGATGGAAAAGGACTATATATAACAAAGTCCAATATCTATCTAGAGAATTTAATCACACAAACAATAATGGATCAAAACCAACATAATTATAAATGCAGATGATTGGAAACATGGAAAGGGAAACATAATAAGTGCACAGTAAAAATAAACAACACCCATTCCGATCATTTTAGAACAGAGGCAGGTGTCAGGCAAGGATGCATAATCTCGCCAACTCTGTTTAATATTTACAGCGAACACATTATGCGAAATATACTAGACGGATGAAAGGGTGGAATATCAGTAGGATGTCAAAAAATCAGGAACTTGAGATATGCTGATGACACTTTAACAATCGCGGCAAATCAAGAAGAAATGGAAGACATAATGAGATGTCTGGAGGAGAAAAGTAAAACATATGGACTAAAGCTAAATAGGAGTAAGACAAAGATCATGATAGTGGACAGAGCTCGGAATAATTTTCAACACATTAAAGAAATTGGGGGCTTTGAAGTAGTAAATAGTTTCATATACCTGGGGTCCCTAATAATAAATGACTGAGAGTGTGACAGAAAGATACGTAGAAGACTGGCTATTACTAGAACAGCTATGATGAAACTGGTAAAAATTTTAACAAATTTTAGCATAACAATAAGCGCAAAACTAAGACTGGTAAGGGCACTTATTTTTCCTATAGCCACATACGCATCCAAAAGAAAGCGGATAAAAATAAACTAGACGCTTTTGAAATGTGGGTATACCACCGCATGTTAAGAATATCCTGGATTGATCATCGCACTAACGTATCGATATTAGAACAACTTAAAGGATATATTGCTTAAACTAATATAACAGAGGTATTTGCAGTATTTTGCGCACATTGCTAGAAGAACAGGTACGATGGAAAAACTGATAGTCGAGGGTAGAGTTGAAGGAAAGAGACCTATGGGAAGATCTCCAAGCCGTTGGGTAAATCAAACAAAAATATTGATTAACCAAGGGTTAAATGAAGCCGAATAACTAGCCCAGGACAGGGAAGGATGGAGAGAAATGGTGAAAAAAACTGTAAAAGGTCTGATGGTGTCACCACATCCCAAAAGTGATTAGGACTAAGGAGCAGAGGATTGTACAATAGATAAAAATCCCTTTAATAACAGTTAGAAATACCCATTATTCCTAGTTTGGATGGAAATAAATGGTGCTGTTAATATTTCACACTATAACAATAACAATAATATCCCTTTAATGGCTTTTATGAAGGCATAGATAATATTCGACATTTTCGAAACATTAGTGTTCGGACGGCGATTAGTTGTGTGACTATTTTATATATGTATTTAAATGCAGAAATATATCGATACATGTCTGGCAAGTACAGGTATGTTTTTCAATATATCTAATATATTTATATTATTTTATATAGTTGACGAGAGTTCCAAAAATACATACCTAGTAAAGAAGGTTGCCCATAATCCTTCTGGTGAAGGGAATTATGTTTCACAGCTGCATGAGCAGAACAGGGCGTGTGTGTTGCGCATATGAAGCAGAAGATACACACCGATATGACATGATGAGACGACATGATTTGGATCTGTAAAAGAAAAAAGACGCTTTAATATAAATAAATGGATATAAAACAAATACTGTGGGGACATCCAGTGGATTTCAAAAAATCTGCTGACATCTGTTTATCCCCAAAGCCTATGTATGTTTAGACATTCCTTACTCATTATCTAGAATTATGCAACCTAAAACCTTTTACTTATCACGTCTGTAATCTATAAATTGATGTTAACTAAACGCGTGCATCAACAAATCGTAAATAACACAATTTAGTTGCTAATTGACGTAGGTTAGTGATATAAATTGTTTATTTTTGATACTGTTTTCATCGATTTTACATACTATTGTCACGTAAAAATTAGTCATATTAAAAAAAACCTGTAAACATGTTGTTTATTCACTAATATGTTCTAGACCCTTCGACTAGCTGGCAGAAATTCCAAGTAAAAAAAAACAGTCTAGGTTCCAGTTCATTCGAGGCAATGCAGGTCAACATCCATGGGATTCCTTTTTTACTAGAGAACGTCGAGGGAACTCTGGGCTAACGGCAGTTTATATTTAAATAGAAATTTTATGAAAAGACGAGTCAGTCAAAAGAAGATCGCGCTCTCGTTTTAATGTAACGCACGTATAGATAAATTATGTATTTATTAGTCAAATAAATTGTTGTACAGTGGTTTAATAAATTGATATAAATTATCGTGTTTTAGTAAATTAAAATAAGAACAATAAATTCGAATTAATAAAAACATTATACTATTACACGTTTTACTACTATAGTAGTAGTAGAAGAACGCAAAAAGAGCTTCAAGAAGAAATTGAAAACGTCTCAAATATTTCTGAAAATAAATCCGAGTCGCATTATCTACCTAGTAAAGATTATGTCTCAGATTCTGATGAAGTACCTAAGAATACTCCTGACCGTGTGGATGTAAACATCACTGCTTCCGACGAAGAAAGTTCTGATAACACGGTAATATCTGAAGATGACTCTGAAAGGGATGAATTGGCTGCACAATGGAATATACCAAATACAAACTTTTGTCCTTAAAAAGAAATTCTTACCCAGAGAAATGGGATCACAATACTAAATATTGATAAAGGTTCTCGTCCTGTTCTTTATTTATGCATATTGCTTCCTGTACAAACCAAAGAATAGCAGCACCACGAAAAAAAAACACATGTACGAAATGATGACAGTGATTAGTTGTACTATGGTTATGTGTTACAATAAAGTACCATCTGTCTCACACTACTGGTCACAAAAATAATAATACCATGGACCCAAATGGTTACAAATGCAGAAGTGTTAAGAAGGTTACAAAAGCATTGCGATGTCATAAAACACATCAAAACAAGAAAGCTGGAATATTTAGGCCACATTACCAGAGGTGCGAAATATGGGATATTAAGGCTCATAATGCAAATTAAAAGATCCATAGGAAGACGAAGAATTTCCTGGCTGAGAAACCTAAGAGAGTGGTATAGTTGCAGTTCAGTAGATCTTTTTAGAGCAGTCGCCTATAAGGTACGGATAGCTGTGTTGATAGCCAACCTCTGATAGGAGAAGGAACTACAAGAAGAAGAAAAATTATTATAAAGAAAAACTAACTAATCATATAATAATTTAAAACATTTAAACCTAAACATAAGATCGAAAGAAATGGTTCCGAATCCTAACTACTTGTATCTTGTACGCCGTACGGTAGTGAGAGGCTGACTGAAAATGTGAAACCCGAAGAAAACGGGCGGCCGGCGCCGAGCTTGTGTGATGATTGAGACGAGACATCTGGCAACCAGTTATGTTAGGGTTGGATTTCAATTTTGGTCCTACAATACAAATAGTTCTTTCGCGAACTAGTTCATTTTTGTGAAATAGTTCTCTTGAACTAGTTCGTCTAAAAGAACTAATAAGCACACCTCTATGCTGTTCCACGTAAAAGTGGTACTATTTGTTAAATTAATCATATCCTAGTGAAACAAGTAACGGTTTTTTGCAAAAAAGTAAAAAAATATTTACGCGGAAAATGGGTGTTAAAACTTTCGAGCAACCCCGTATATTACACCTCAAGTTAAGTACACCCCTCGAGAGGGGATGCAAGTAGCGGAGGAGAAGTCAGTGACAGTCCACTCTCAACTCGAGTCAACACAACACCTTACGCTAAGGACGTTATTTTTAAATTTATTGTTTGCAACATATTTTACATGTGCCTTTTTTTTACTTCAATACAGTTTTAGTTTAAGTGATTTGTTTTTGTGTATTATTACGTGAAATTCCAATAAGATTCAACCTACACCCCAACATAAGTGGTTCTTCAAGCGGATATTATCCAGTGATTAACAATATTTTGCTGTTCATTCCATGTAAGCTGAATTCATTTTCTACGGAATTTGCCGTCCCATTCACACAGTTTATCATCGGAAGACGCAGGTATATTCTCTTTTCAAAGGTTAGTGCACATTTCCTTTATTTACCTATCTTTTATGGTCGTTAAAAGGGTACATTTGTATTTGATGTAATTCAGTGGAAATATTTATTTTTAAAAGCAGGTATTTTAATCCTTTAACACATTTAGAGATTTCAATATTTTCATTTATACATTAATACATAGTAGCGTCCTTAAATTTATTTCAATTTTTTCATTTTACATTTATAAACTATTACAAGTTGAAATATTATCTTTAAAGTTTTTTATTGATTCGCAAAACATTTTTACACACATTACATAATTGATTTTAATTGTTTTTTGCATATACATACATACATTTTTATTTTTGTGAATATATAAGTTATATTGTTACTATGGCTGACATCGCTACAGCAAAAACTAAACGCTCTTCAATCAAAGGTTCTGTAACCCGTTTTAGTACGTATTTTAATTCTATCAAAAACAAACCGTTAGAACAAATTAACTTTAGAGATTTACAACTTAGACTTGATAGAATTGAAAAACTTTTTGACGATTTTGACAACGCTCAATCACTTATTGAGGCCTCTGATGAGGACTATACTGCCAACGCAGATACTATTCATGGTGTTGAAAGGTCATCTTTCGAAACGCCGTTTTTCCATATTACTAGCGCTGTGCGAGATTTTATTGACACCAATTTTTCAAAACCCTGTAGTCAGGCTGCTCAAGCTTCAAATTCGACAATTTCGTCCGAAAATACTTCACAAAGATCTATTAATATTAGGTTACCCGCTATTAACTTGCCCTCCTTTGAGGGTGACTATGAAAATTGGTTGTTCTTTAGGGATACATTTAATTCTATCATTCATACAAATACAGAACTTTCCAATATTCAGAAATTCCACTATCTAAGATTATCTTTACAAGGTATTGCCGCAGAAACAATACGTAACTTGGACATTTCTGAGGCAACATATGAAACTGCGTGGGAGTTACTAAAAGACAGATTCGAAAACAAATCTCTTCTTGTCAATAATCACATTAAAAAATTATTTAATTTACCAAATGTTTCAAAAAATTCGCATCATGATCTACGCACTTTACTTGATGGTTTCCAAAGACATTTACGCTCTCTTGAGTCCTTAGACTTAGACACAACATCTTGGGATGCCCTTATTATATATTTAATTACCACGAAACTAGACAATGCCACACACAAAGAATGGGAACTGTCAATTAAAGACGATAAGAACACATTACCCACTTTGAGTAGCTTAACTGAATTTTTAAAAGGTAAATGTAGAGTCTTAGAATCTATTAATCATCAAGAAGAAAAATCTCGTCCCAAATTTTCATCTACAGGCAATCCCAATTCCAAGAATTTCTTGTCAACGAATAATTCTTCCAACTGTTCTTTATGCAAACACAAACATCTAATTTACACTTGTCCTGATTTTCTCAAATTAGAAACGTCATTAAGACATAATGAAGCAAAACGCTTGCGACTTTGCATAAATTGTCTGCGTAGTGGTCATTTCACTAAGGAATGCAAATCTTCCGGGTGTCGTAAATGTGGAAAAATACACCACACACTTTTACACTTTCAAAGTAACTCACAAAAGCTTACTGAACCCAGCAATCAAACCATCAGCAGTTTACCTTGCTCTAGTCCAGGTACATCAGAAGGGTCTAATGCACTGACAACACGTAACATGTCGTTTGAGTACAACTCTACTACTTTGCTGTCAACTGTAAAAATTAACGTCTTTGACATCTCAGGTAATGAACACGAGGCTCGTGCACTTCTAGATAATGGTTCTGAAAGTAATTTCATTTCCCAGCGCCTATTAAATCTCTTAAAGTTGCCTACAACCAAAACACATTTTTCTATTTCTGGTATAAACCAAACAAATTCTATTGTAAGCTACAGAACATCGGTCAAATTTAAGTCCAAAACTTTAAACTTTTTTCAAGTAATTTCTTGCTTAGTGCTTCCTGAAATTGCAGGAAATTTGCCTTCTGTCACATTCGATAAGAAAATACTCAATATTCCTTTCAATATTACTTTGGCCGATCCAGACTTCAATATTTCTTCTCCGATTGATCTTCTTATCGGTGCAGACATCTTCTGGAATTTAATTTGTATTGGTCAGATTAAATTATCACCTGGACAACCGATTCTTCAAAAAACTAAACTTGGATGGATTATCTCAGGTCCATTATTTCCAAACAATACCCTTGCAGCCAGAACTAGATGCCATTTGTCGACCATAAACAAGTTGAGCATAGAAGATCAACTTCAAAAATTTTGGGAAATTGAAGAATGCCCAAAAACAAAATTTTTGTCTAACGAAGAACTTTCTTGTGAAGATCACTTCTTAAAAACAATCTCTCTTAATTCTTCTGGTAGGTTTGTAGTATCACTTCCCTTGAAATCTTCCGCCGACAATCTAGGCGACTCTAAGACTACAGCAACAAAAAGGTTTTATTCTCTCGAAAGGAAACTTAATGCGAATTTTGAATTAAAAGATGATTACACTCGATTTATCGATGAATATTTATCCTTACACCATATGTCCGTTTCACCCTTTGAAACCACTGGCTATGAGTTCTTTCT